GAGCCCTCGAGGCCCCTCCTTGTAATATAAAGCTTGTATTATTTTATTTTGTGTCTAGAGTTGTGTTGTGATATCTTCCCGTGAGTCCTTGATCTTGATCGTACACATTTGTGATACGTCTCCAACGTATCTATAATTTTTTATTGCTCCATGCTATATTATCTACTGTTTTGGACATTATTGGGCTTTATTATCCACTTTTATATTATTTTGGGGACTAACCTATTAACCGGAGGCCCAGCCCAGAATTGCTGTTTTTTTGCCTATTTTAGGGTTTCGAAGAAAAGGAATATCAAAAGGAGTCCAAACGGAATGAAACCTTCAGGAACGTGATTTTCTCAACGAACAAGACCCAGGAGACTTGGACCCTACGTCAAGACACAAAAGAGGAGGCCACGAGGTAGGGGGCGCACCTACCCCCCCCCCCCCAGGTGAGCCCTCCACCCTCGTGGGCCCCCTGTTGCTCCACCGACGTACTCCTTCCTCCTATATATACCTACGTACCCCCAAACGATCAGATACGGATCCAAAACCCTAATTCCACCGCTGCAACTTTCTGTATCCACGAGATCCCATCTTGGGGCCTGTTCCGGAGCTCCGCCGAAGGGGGCATCGATCACGGAGGGCTTCTACATCATCACCATAGCCCCTCCGATGAAGTGTTAGTAGTTCACCTCAGACCTACGGATCCATAGTTATTAGCTAGATGGCTTCTTCTCTCTTTTTGGATCTCAATACAATGTTCTCCCCCTCTCTTGTGGAGAACTATTCGATGTAATCTTCTTTTTGTGGTGTGTTTGTTGAGACCGATGAATTGTGGGTTTATGATCAAGTCTATCTATGAATAATATTTGAATCTTCTCCGAATTCTTTTATGTATGATTGGTTATCTTTGCAAGTCTCTTCGAATTATGAGTTTGGTTTGGCCTACTAGATTGATCTTTCTTGCAATGGGAGAAGTGCTTAGCTTTGGGTTCAATCTTGCGGTGTCCTTTCCCAGTGACAGTAGGGGTAGCAAGGCATGTATTGTATTATTGCCATCGAGGATAACAAGATGGGGTTTTCATCATATTGCATGAGTTTATCCCTCTACATCATGTCATCTTGCTTAAGGCGTTACTCTATTTTCATTAACTTAATACTCTAGATGCATGCTGGATTGCGGTCGATGAGTGGAGTAATAGTAGTAGATGCAGGCAGGAGTCGGTCTACTTGTCTCAGACGTGATGCCTATATACATGATCATACCTAGATATTCTCATAACTATGCTCAATTCTGTCAATTGCTCAACAGTAATTTGTTCACCCACCGTAGAATACTTATGCTCTTGAGAGAAGCCACTAGTGAAACCTATGGCCCCCGGGTCTATCTTCATCATATTAATCTTCCAATACTTTGTTATTTACTTTGCTTTTATTTTTGCTTTGCACCTTTATCATAAAAATACCAAAAATATTATCTTATCATATCTATCAGATCTCACTCTTGTAAGTGGCCGTGTAGGGATTGACAACCCCTTATCGCATTGGTTGCGAGGATTTATTTGTTTTGTGCATGTACGAGGGACTCGCGCGTAGCCTCCTACTGAATTGATACCTTGGTTCTCAAAAACTGAGGGAAATACTTACGCTACTATGCTGCATCATCCCTTCCTCTTCGGGGAAAAACCAACACAGTGCTCAAGAGGTAGCAATTTGCGTGTATGATTAGTGTACAGTCAAATCGAGGGCATCACAGAGGAGGTGCCCAAGTAGGATTACTCCTACTTGGGGCGCCCCTTGGGCACCTCCTCCATCGTTTACTCCTCGAAAGACAGAGGATAGAGAGTGAGAGAAAGAGTGTGAGACTTGCGCCGCTCTCCATTTCGAGGGGATTTCGACGATTCTGGGGTGATTGAACTATTTATTTACCTGTTCAATTTCTAATGAATCAAGATATCCTCTTGTTCCGGTATAAATAGCAGCTATCTGCTCTTCCACTGGGAGAGGATTTGCCTGGGATTGTTTAAGCAATTCCCTTAATCGTCGATCCCTTGCCAATTGATTCTGACTTGTTTTATCAAGAGCAGAGGTGAATTGTGCAAAGGCTTGTCACTTTGTGAATTGAGCTAGTTCCAATTTGGATTTGCCAGGTCATATTGTCGTATGTGGGGGGCACCACTAGAACCTACATCAATTGTTCCTAGCCGTGTGTGGCGCCCCCTCCACCGTTTACTCCTCCAGTCATATTATCGTAGTGCTTAGGCGAAGCCCTACGGGGATCACTTCACCATCACCATCACCACGTCGTCGTGCTGACGAAACTCTCCCTCGACACTTTGCTGGATCAAGAGTTCGAGGGACGTCATCGAGCTGAACGTGTGCAGAACTCGGGGGTGTCGTACGTTCGGTGCTTGATCGGTCGGAATGAGAAGAAGTTCGACTACATCAACCGCGTTAACAAACGCTTCTGTTTTCGGTCTATGATGGTACGTGGACACACTCTCCCCCTCTCATTGCTATGCATCTCCTAGATAGATCTTGCGTGATCGTAGTATTTTTTTTTTGAAATTACATGCTACGTTCCCAACAATCCCTACATATCATATGGCCTGTTTCAAATTGCCTAGGGGTTTATGTCAGCACATCAATGGTTTACTGAGGAAGTTTTGGTGGGGATCGAAGATGGAGAGGGGAGGACCGCCTGGGTCTCCCGAGAAGTCATGTCATAGCCAAAATTTATGGGGGGTATGGGTTTTCGCGACATTGAGCTCTTTAACCTGGCATTGCTTGCACGGCAAACCTAGCGCCTTCTCCATGAACCCAGCTCCCTAAGTGCTCGAATCTTAAAGGTTGTCTATTATCCTTAGTCTTCTATCCTCGAAGCAGAGATTGGGAAGAACCCATCACAAGTCTGACGTTCTATAGTTGAAGGAAGGGATGCATTAAAACTTGGCCTAGTGAAGCGGATTGGTTCGGGCGAGGATACCAATATTTGGCTTCACAATTGGATTCCACGAGATTTCAAACTCTGTCCGGTGTGCCCAAAATCTCCAAACCCCTCGAACAAGGTTTCAGAGCTAATCAACCCTGCCACCGCAGCATGGGACTGTGACACCCTTGAAGAGCATTTTTATGCGATGGATCAGGAAGCTATCTTAAATATCCCTCTGAGCTCCAAGGTCCGAGAGGATTCCTAGTCATGGCACTATGAACGGAAGGGTATCTTCATAGTGTGGTTAGCGTGCAGGCTTTTGTCATCAACTAAACAACAACGTACCGACTGGCTTGAACACAATGATGGTCACTCCAATGGCATAGCGGATCGTCGGTCATGGGTCAAGCTTTGGGGAGCTGTTGTTCCCTCCAAAGTTAGAGCTTTTTCTTGGAGATTAGCCAAAACTTCTATTCCTACAGGAGATGTTTGTAAGCACAGAAGTATGATTGATTCTGCAGAATGCTCATTATGTCATGCAGCTTAGATACGTGGCGCCACTCTCTATTTGACTGCCATATGGCGCGCTGCGTATGGGCCCTTGCCAACGAAGAACTGACTGAGACGATCATCTCAAATTGGACGGAGGATGCCAAGCTATGGATGCTTTGGCTGGTTGACACATTACCCATGGCGGAACTAGCGCGTGTGCTTGTGACGATGTGGGCAATTTGGTGGGCGAGGCGTCGAGCCATTCATGATAACCAGTTTCAAAGCCCGCTGAGCACCCACATGTTCGTCAACAAATTCATGGTGGAGCTTGGATTAATTCCTGAGAGAACAGCCCGCGCTAAGGACCTGTATGTGAATTCTGGAAATAATAGTGGGCAACCGCCGCTGTTAGGTTGGCTCCCGCCTGTTAGCCATGCGGTGAAAATGAATGCAAATGGAGGCTTTTCCAAGATTGGAGACCGAGGTGCCTCCGCGGTGGTGTGTCGGGACAAGAACGGTAATTACCTAGGTGCTTCAGCTATTATCTTTGAGGGTTTTCTGGATCCAGCAATTCTCGAAGCTCAAGCGTGCAATGAGGCGCTCACACTTGCCATCGACCTACATGTCCAGTCCGTGTGTGTGGCTCCGGATTGTCTGGAAGTAGTGACGAGTATACAAGATGAAACATGCCGGTATCATGCTATCTTGCAGGACATCAAGCACCAAAAGAGGTCTTTTCAAGATATCAAGTTTATTCATGAAAATAGGAAACACAACGGAGAGGCCAGTGCTTTAGCAAAGGCAGCTGCCTCTCTTCCTCCCGGGCACCACGTGTGGCTTACTAGTTTGCCCGATATTATCTGTATCCCTATGTGTTTGAACGTCTAATAAAGGATGCAATTTGCTAAAAAAACTATTCCTTTAACTGCTGGGATAAGAAAGCTCAAAACTTCAAATTTTTGGTACTCTGACTAATGCAGTTAGCATGTTGCAAATCAAACATATTACTTCCGTCCCAAAGTCCCATAATATGTCCCAGGGAATACTAACTTTGTATTAAATCAGCAACACTTATTTTAGGATGAAAGAAGTATATCTTATTTTTCAAAGTGGTTTATGAACTCCAACTTATTGACATATTAGCTCAGGCAATTAGCATGTGAACCGGGGAAGTATTACACATCACACAAATAGTCATGTGTTTCTATGTAGAAGTTAGACATTTCACAGTAGTCTTCAAAGAATGGTGCCTTACACCGGTGCCATTGAAGTTTCGTTTACAACACACATTAGGACTCAAAAGGCGTGTAACTTTCATTAATGCGATTGAATTGTTTGGTACAAACGTGAAACGATTTATTTGCTTTGGCAAACATACACTCCTGCATCGTTCAGTTCAAGCGACTGATCAGTACACACGATGGGTATGGTATAATGTTACAGATTCCTGTAGTAGTCTACTCAGATTCACTAGTATACAAATAGTCCCTATTCATGATTATAGGCCTTGAATCCCTGACATGCCCGTCCATACTATTATCTACAAACAACAACTTACATAGCGATACAAGAATTTCTGAACTGATATATGCCTTTAATCAAAGGGGTCGATTCGAGGATCATGCTCACTTGCCATTGCCATCCCTGTACAGAGGCATGTGGGGCACATCACCTGTAAACATATCGTTACATGTCATGTTTCGTTTGAGTCTCAAAACCAGATAGCATGCAGGGTAGCATGGAACATACTCATACGAGCCAATATTAATTAGAATTTTGTGTGTGTTGATTCAGAAACAGGGTGGTGTGTTCAGTTCAGCATGCAAAGGACTGCTTTACCTTTCCTGCGCCAGAGCAGTTTGGACATCTCTCGGTTTTTGGTGCTGATAAAGGTTGATCACCATCACTGAATGTCGAAACAGGCTCAGTAAGCACAACAGCTCCCGTGCTTGAACAGCGGGCACAAGCCAGATACCCTACAGCAACATCATGGAATCTCCTCAGTGAGTTTAAACTTAAAGCTATCAAATAGCCACCCAAGTATAAGGGATGCACAATAAGCTATCATGTATATGCAATTATAGCTACTATCTCTATCAATCCATCTGAGATTTGTTCCCTGTTTGATCTTAGACTAAGCAGGCAATGAACTAAGTTTACCCGTCTCGGATTTGAAACTGGGTTTAGACGGTGTAATATAATTTTGCACTAAATTATCACTGCCAACATTAAGTATTATGTGGAATCTTCCCCATTCCGTGCATATATGATAAGAGTTCTCTGAGAGGGGGAGGGGGTACCAGTTCCTAAACAATATTTGCACCGTTTATGCTCCTGTTGCTTGACATTGTTTATCTCAACAACCATTAGGGCGGAGATAACTCCAACTGCTCCACCTGAGAAGGATGCCACAATAGGATCTACCTGGCTACAATATCAGATAGACAAATGAATGAAAGGACAGTAAATAATCATTCAAATTCCATAGTTAAAAGATGCTTCATAAATTAGACTAGATCATGCAACTGTGATGGCACCTCAGTTGCATAGGCAAATGAACATTTCGAATGAAATCTGCATAAGATGTGCCTCCTATACCAAGTTTAAGTTCCAGCTGCAGGTAGAGCACATCAAGTTGTTACACATCCACCATGTTGTTTCATGATGAGATCAGTTAGAGTAGCAACAATTGCCAATCCAAAATCGAGAATGTAACTTACAATTGGTGCAAGAAATCCACCAAAGACCATTATTGCAGCAATGAGAGAGAAACATGTAGCATAGTAGACCTTCAGATTAGCTGCACTCTGTTTACAAGAAAGTAATGGTAACTAACTGATTTCGAGATTCAAGTTCAATACGTTATTATGTCATGGCGTGTAAAGTATTAAAATGCTGTTGCATAATAGCTTTGGGTCTGGTAAGGGCCTACTAACCAGGGGAGGCAAAAACGGTATGAATGATGGAAAATCTGGGAGTTCTCCTTCAGGCTCTTCATTTGAGATTCCAAGTTCAGCATTTTTTATTCTTTGTTGTATTCTCAATCTGCGAATCTGTGTGAAAAGAGAGAGGAAAATATGATGCCAGAATGCATATGATAGTGGCTTTGACATTATTGCATAGCAGAACTCACTCGAAGGCATAATTAAAAGAAGCCAAGCTGAATCATAAACAGAAAGAAGATACACTAGAAGGGCAAAAACTAATCCTAAAGGATCCATGGATGTTCCAAACTAGTTCTAAGTTTGTTGTACCTGCACGGTTTGCACCATCCTTGGATAGCGTAGTTCAGCCTCACAAGTTCTAGCTCATTAGTGAACTAAAAAAATCAAGTACTAGCATGTGGATTGCCATTTTAGCTAACATGGTTACCAATTTACAAGTCTTAAAACTATATCCTGTCCTCCAGTACTTCAACTTTCTGACAAGCAAATTGTATACGCAAGCTCACAAGCAAGCAGTAAATATTGATTGACAAAAATAACACAAAACCAACACACCTCCTCCATATGCAAGAATATCTTGTTCCGGCGGCTCCTGATATTATCAAGAATCTCCTGCAAATCTAGCTTATCAAAATCTTGAACTGTCTCAGGCCCTTCAATGATGCAAAACCTGCAAGCCAGAACAAGCAATGCTCAACTTGAGTTGCCCCAATCATTACTGCACCTAAATCTCCAGTCCCCAGAAGTTCAAGAACAGAATCATGGTTATCCCATATGCTAGATTGGCAGATAAGGCTATATGCTGCCCAAGCATGTTCTTATATGTAGCTACTAATTTATTTTACTCCTGAATCTGATTGGCATAATCGTAGCGACGCATCACGATTCACGGGCACAACCAGCACCCAAAGCTACCAACTGCTCACAAAATAGATCAAATAATCAGTACCCTGAGGAGGAGGAGGAGGCGGCAGCGGCCGCGGCCGCGGCCTGGTCGTCCCCGGCGCCAAACGGCGGGGGTGTCGACGACGACGACGGCAGGTCAGGGGAACCGCCGGGAGCCGCGGCGGAGGCGGCGACCCGCCACCTGCGGGCGGGGAGCGGGGGACGCAGCCGGTCAGCGTAGGCGCGCGGCGGCCGGAGCCTCCCGGGGCTCAGGCCGCTGCAGGCTAGCATGCGGCCGGAGCAAAGCATCGCCGGCGATGCTCCCCGTTGGAGCTTCCAAATCAGAGGTGCCTATCCGTGGATGAATAGGTCGATGGCGACGGATCGGAGGTGAGATTGATGGACGGATACGTTAGATATATCGAAGAAAATTGGGGATTTGGAGCGAGGAAGAAAAGCAAGTGGTGGCTCTGAAGAGTTCTGATCGGCGGAGTGGGGAAGAGGGGAGAGCGTCGCGGCAGCAAGTAGTGGAGCTCAAATTTTCTATTCAATTTCATTTTCTTTTTCTGTCGGAAGAGAATGACAGTGGTAGATGGAAACGAAGGTGATCCACAAATATCCGTGATTAGTGGATTTATGATGGTTGTGCACCATGCGAAAACGCGACGCCTAGAAACACCGGTCACGAACTAATCAGTGTTTTTTTATGTTGACTGGCTAAGGTGGTGTTTGGTTCTCTGGTTCTAGAATTTTTTTTAGTCTCAACTAAAAAGTTTCTAGTCCAAGGCATCTTCAATAGGAGGCGCTAGTACCAGGCGCCAGGGTAGAAACCCCGTCCGTTTCATCAGATTCCCACCCAAATTCTGACTTTTTGTTAGCGCCGGCGCAAAATCAGGCATCAAGCGCCCCAGCTTTTTCTCGTCGCCGTTCTGTTTTATTTTGAACTAGCGTAGCGCCTGTCCTTTTCCAGTTAGCGTTGGAGAGGCAGATTCTAACACGAACGCTTAGCCAAAAATCCTTCCCCTAAGCGCCTATTCAAGCGCTTGGCATTGTACATGCCCTAAAAGTCCTTCCCAATTTGTTTTCAGAGACTAAAAAGTCTCTAGTCTCTTCCTAGAGGTTATTAAATGACCATGTTGCTCCTAGTATATAGAAAAATAACAATCAAACAACACCATGGGATGGCGGGCCAATGGGTGCATGGAGGGACATTGTTGGAAAAGTCCCAAAAAAACTCTCATTGAGAGTCTTCTTCATTTAGTCCCAAATGCCTAGTTTAGTCCCTAAAAAGTCCATCCCGTTTGGTAAAAAAGTCTTTAAAAGAGACTTTTTCTAGTCCCTACACAAAAAAGTCCCTGAAAACAAACACCCCCTAAATGCCCGGCAACGTTTCTTTTGTTTTCTGCAAGAAACACATTGCGTAAGTTCTGTGAAAGTTTTACTGTCCTATTTGTAAATGGAAGGATTAGTGCAATAGTCTAATTATAGAAGTGATGGCATCGCAATTAGTGTTATGACTGCATGTGATGATGAAAGTCTAATAAGAAGGTGCAGCCCTAATCTTTTGGTCAACCGTGTTCATATTTTTGCAATTTATCTATCCGTGAAGCATTTTGCATTGTTAAGTGATTTGCGGTTGTAATATTTGATAAAGAAATTATGAAGGAAGACTCTTCTATAGGTTTTAAGTCCCGATATATTAGCAATTTTTAATCAAACACTTGAATGCATTGACGGATAGCAAGAAACAAGGAGCATTCAGATTCACATAAGAAAGTGGAATGATTGAACTTGAGAGAAAGGTCTTTTTAGCTGGATAGAGTATTGCTCATTGTCGATATCGTTGATGGATATCAGGATTTGCCCAGGTCCGGTCAGATCTAAAGGGCATTTGCATGGCGTGTGTCACTACTGCAGGATGCTGCTAACGCGACACTATGATCAGAGATCCTTTAACAAAACTGTGTGCGATGCATTAATCGCGAACGGTGATGTAAAAAACCGTTAAAAAAGATGCAAAACATTTACGATGAATGATACATCAAACACAGGTCAGATTTTAGTTGCGTGTGCGATGAGGGGCATACGGTTGATCTGTATGATCTGTTTGCGATGAGACAGAAGAACGGAAACGGGCAGCCAAATCAAGGTGTATGCGATATACGGCATACAATTCACTCCGATGAACCGTTTGCGATGAATGAGGTGAACACAAACGATTCGGCGTAACAAGATGTGCGTGATACCCGGCAAACAGGTTGGTAATCAAAATTGTGTGCGATCATTATAGACAGTCCATATGGTCTTTTTATGAATTGTGTGCTCGTCAGGGCACACAGTTCAACAAAGCAACATGTTGGCGATAATGTAGAAAATCTCTGTCAAATACATAATACTAACCTTCTGCGATGAGATTGACAGGATAAACAGAGATATATACAACCTGCTTAATTTAGTCCTTCTTCTTCTTGTTGTTATTGGATGGCCCCGCGACATTGTCTTGGCGAGGACGCTTCTTGCCGCTGACCGTTGGCTTTTCATCGCCGCCGTCGTCGTCATCGTCGTTGCTGTCGTCGTCGTTCTCCTCCTCGTTCGACCATTCCTCCTCCTCATCATCGTCGTCCTCTTCTTCATCCTCCGACGGCTCCTCGTTCGTCTGGTTGTCGTCTGACGACTCCAGAGGCGGCATCCCTTCCATAAACCAGATATAATCGAGGCCTGGGCTCGACGCCGGACTCATGAAAGACGAGCAGGATGATTCCGATGTTGACCTATCAACGGGCGCCAGACTGCTGGCCAAACCGTCGTCCTCGTTGTCGCTCGACACGGCTGCAGAGTGTGTGCCAGTGTGTAGCGCGGCCTGCCAGGGACAATGAGATGGTGGACACTTAAGCGGGGTATGCAGAGAAGAGGAACTGCCAATTGAAGCGGGGGTTGACGTATTATCTAACCGCTGATATAATCAACCGCAATTATTTGTACCCAGTCGCTCCAAATTCCCGGAGTTGTGCAGGACTCCTATTGGCTATTTGACTGGTTTCCTTTTTCAAGACAAAAACAAGGAACGAGTTTTGGGATTATGCATAGGTACCGGTATGAACGAAGTAGGATAGTTGGCAAGCAATACATTGAGCTCTTCTTATTGTAAAGCCAGTAATAATCAAACTAGAAAGAAAAAAACAAAGAAAAATATCTGCACGAATCTTCGCGTAACATCAATGGCATAGGACCTAGATGTGCATTACTTAGAGCACATCTAGATGTGCTTTAGCAATACTGTCAAACAAAATCCCTAATCATCATTGCAAACAGCGCATAGAACATGGCTAATGCGACAACCACAACTACACATGCTAGTTGCTTCTTGTCTCTTTCTTTCATCGGTTGCCTGTGATTGATTCTTTCTTACTTCATCGTACTGATTGTACATTTCAAATCAACTAGTTTCTTCTTTAGCTTTACGCTATCTTCTGCGAGCTTGGTTATAACACTCCGAGCCCTGCCATGCCATTCTTCATACAACCAGTTAACAAAGGCACAAGCCTCATATCCCTGCCAATGTTAAATAGCATTCTGGATGAGCGATGACATTAACTGAAGTAAAATGATGAACTTAATTAGCACTAACCTCTACGGGGCAACTAAGAAACCGCCTACCAATGTCAAATCCCTCCGTGCATACACGTCGAGCGGGAGTGTGCCCGTGCACACAACTCAGCTTTTGGTACTTCTCGGTGGAGCAAAACTCGGAGTCTAACTCGTGTTGCGGGAGTCTAGAGTCATGCTCCGGATCCGGCGGCAAATCGCTTTCCTAGGGGGGTCATTCAGGACGGATTCAGCAAGGAGCTATACTTTGGACATGCTAAAATAGATCGGGATAGATTGGAACCTGACAGGACGATTCGGATCCGTACTACACCTGCCTTTTGATGACCTTAGGCAAGTGCTCGGCGGCGATACGAGCAGGAGCAGCCGCACCGAAACCATCAGCACCACTCGTCTGCATTCCCCCAATGTCAGCGCCACGCGAGGGTATTTGGAGGCTATGTAGGGATTTGGGGGAAATGGGGAAACTGTGGAGATAAGCTAACAGTTAGGAACTACTTATGGCACTATATGTTGTATACGACATACTGTTTATACATGTCGTTTGTGTGTTAGGTATTACAATGTCACACACGATTTCCGCACCAAACCGTGTGAGAAGACAACGTAGGTTAGACATGGTTGTCGTTACATAACTGTATGTGATGTACTACACTGTCCATATAATTGAGTTACGGTGAGATATCGTGTAAATAGCCGCTCTGCAGATATCCGTAAAAAAACAGCCGCTATGCGTATAGAAATGGCGGTGGCGGCCTAGGCAGCAGCTACCGGAGAAGAGGTCAATCCTCGGTCGATGGGTGGTGGCGGCGTCATAGGAGGTCAATCCTCGGTCTGCTGCGGGAGATAGGAGGAGCTCAACCATCGAGGTCGGCGGCGGCATGATTTGAGCACATCCATCGCGGTCGATGGCGGGATAGTGGAGGTCGAACTTCAGGCGGCAGACGCACTAAGCTTTGCTCCTCGACCCTGCTGTCTCGGCGTGCGCCACATCGCGCTTGTTTGTCTGCTGGGTGGAGGTCGCCGCGCGGCTAATTAATTAAGGTATTCTTTTCGTGAGTGGCTTAATAAAGGTATTCAATTCCTAAGGGTATTGTTGTACTAGTACTCTGCGTGTAAATTGACAGGCCATTAATTTTTGTCATTGCACGTCTGCATAACAACATGGAGCACCCTCAGTAATTATTAAAATAAAACCTTGTGATTTATGCACGCATCTTTGGGCAGCAGTTAATCCGTGTATTAATGTTGTTGTTTTGTTTTTAATTACCATTCGTGTGCTGCAGATTGGACGATCTCGATGGATGAAGAATCGAAAAACCGCAGATTTTATCAGTGGTGTGACAGAGTTCATGAATTTGACTGAAAGTACAAAGAGGAGAATTGGTGATGCGGATTACATCCTGTGTCCATGCACTGATTGTGCCAATACAGAGTCACATGAAGTTGCAGATGTCCAGATGCACTTAGTCCCTAGGGGATTCATGGATGGATATACACATTGGACCAGACACGGTGAAGAGGAGGTCATGGATGAAGATACCCAGGGCAGCGAGATGCCAAACCCCGATCAGTGTCACATGGATGTTGAATCTAACATCGGGGCACAAGCGTCAAGCTACCAATGGAACACCGGAAAGCAAAAACGCCCACTAGAAAACCAAGACGTCGACGCAGATGATGACGATCTTGATATGCCAGAT